GGCCCCGGCATCGGGCCCGGCTCCGGCGGAGCAACAGCGGCCTCCAGTGCCGGAATCTCCTCCCTTTCTCCATCCAGGGATCCGCAGTTTGCGTCCCGCTGCGCCGGGCACCGCATCTCCCCTCCCGCCAGCCCGCAGCCGTGGGTGCCGGCAGCAGGGCTCACCGAGGCTGATAGAGGAAAAAAAGGGAAAAATGGAGCCTCCTGGGTTTCCCAAGGCATTGGGTAGGTGTGACCTGCAGGACAAGTCTGAGGCAGGTAGCTCTTGGTGCGCAGGGACCGTCTGATGGGGCACTGGCATATGGAGGGGCTGGACAGAGGCTTTAATGCCCTGTATTTAACAGATGCAAGTCATGAGAATGTTAAAATCTCCTATTGCTTGGATGCTGGAAATTTAGGAAAGGAAAACAACATTCTTGCTGAAAAAAAGAGCTTCCTTGTTATGCCGGAGCCTGGCTCTCTCCCTAGGCATATCCTAGCCTTGTCCCTGGGGCTGTGTCGATAATTTCCTCAAAGCTATTTATGGATGTTACCGAAACAAACCATAATCTTCAGGAAGGTATTTTAAATATCAGGGAAAGGGTTCTGCTGTGCGTGTAAGAAATCCTAGTACAAGACATGGCAATGCTTCCATTTTATTAGGAGTTTGTATAGGTCAGGGACAGCTTTGTGCTATCTTCTCTGGAATGATTGCACCTTTCAGTTTTGAGCGGAGTTGAAGCGTGGAGAGGGATTTTGGCACATTCCTCTGTTCTTTATGCGCACATTAGTGTTTCTTTGCCTGGAAGAGACGTTAAAAATGCTAGAGGATGCCTTCAGGTCCCTGATAGACAGAAGAGCCTGGCTCAGAGGACAGAGAAAGAAAGAAAGGGAAATACTGATTAAATAATCATTTAGGTATTATTCACAGTAAGTAAGGCCACATATTCTTGACAGAGAGTTCAGGGTTACCATGGACATGTGTTAATTAATTCCAATAAGCTGAAGAGCTGGCACTTCCTGACACCTCCTGGCAGAATAATTCACCTCTGTGCTGTAGGACAGCACTAAGACACCTCTAATGCCTGTCTGGCTGCAGACGATAAAGGTTATGACTTCGTTTTGTAGGTTTTTACAGACAAATGTCTGACATTGTGTCTTGCCTGGGCTTGGGCCTGTTCCCAGCCTCCCCTTCTGATTGCTTCTGCAGCAAAAGTAAGGAAAATACTAAAAAGACATCTGCAAAAAATAATCATTATTTTTTGGCTAGTAGTGGACCTAATTACTCTGAATTGTTCCATTTTCGCATGGAATCATGATGTTTTCCTCTTTGGAAAGACAAACACATTTCTCAGGTGCATAAAGAAATGCTGGTAAAATGATTTTCAAGCTGATTTGCACTGTGCAAAAAGCATTTTGCACGCTGGTCACAGTGAAGTGACCAAAGGCGACAAGTGAGACACCACTGCTGCAGGGACTCGCCAGATGCTCTCGCAGTTGCTATTCCCAGACTCCTTGCAGGCCTCCAGCTCTTGTCAGACCGGTTGCGCACGCAAAACTGCAAATGGCACTTCATCCTGCCTCTCGGCTACCTGTCTTTTCCCCACGGACCAAAGCTTTATGGATGAGGACACTTTGTTTATCTATCCCTGAGACATTTGGCACCAGGCACCTTCAAAGTCCTGGTTCCTGACTCAGATTGCCCTGACCAGGAGACCAATTGGCTGTTGTTCCTAACCCCAAAACTTCTTCTCTTGGAATGTTACGAGGGAGCTGCAAGGCAGAGGGCTTTGAGCCCCAGGAGCGGCGCATTTCCAGTTGCAGCTGCTGAGAGCTTGCACAAACGGGAGTCTGAAGAAGTCCAGACCTGTCAACACAAGGCAGGTGCCAGCTTCTCATCCATCTATTCCCTCCCCTGACTCCTGGAAGGCTCTGGATATAACTTTCCTTCTTGTTACCACTGAGGTCTCCCATCCCCGATGAAGTCATGCTCTGTACCGGGGGATGTAGCATCCTTGATGCCACTTTGCTCCCTGCATAGCTGGCTTTGAAGCCTTCCTCACTCTCTTTACCCCGCTCTTGGTTCATGGCCAAAGCCCTAACGATGTTGTGTCTGACGAACCTCCCACCCCCATCTGCTGCACAATACAGCCGACAGCTGGTGCTGGGCTGCTGGCTTCCAGCATGGTCATTACCGCCCTGCCATGCCGCGCCAGGTCATTAACTGTGGCGCCTTCATTCGGGAGATCCCACTCAGCACGTCTCTGCCTGACTGCCTCGTCTTCAGCCTTAAAATGTGAAACCAGCATCTGAGCAGGCCAGGAGCAGAATACAAGGCAGCATCCTTGGTTATGGAAGGAAAGGGAGACAACCAGACCAATGATTCTTATCCAGGCTCTTTTTCCTGGTGATCTGGACTCTGTTCCTTGTTACTGCAGAGTTAGCTGGGCAGCAATGCTCCTAAAAGCAGAATTTGGCTCCATAAGCCCATTCACCTAGGGATAGAAAAGCTGAAATTTAAGCTTCCGTTGGAGATGTCTCTGCAGACGGCAGATGGGCGTGTGAGCCTGATCACCAAAAATCTCTGCCTCGACTAGGTGAAGTCAAGGGTGAAACTCCCTTAGCTCCACAGACTGGGACATCTGGCTACAGATAAGACTCAATCTTCCCAACAGAGATTTCTGAACCACCTAATAGCATTAAGTTGCAAGTAATTCCTTCACTTTGACAGAGTGTGCTTCCAATGTATAAATATACTCAAAATTACCCAGGGCCCGAGCCAGATGAAATGAATCTTTGAGTCTTGCCAGAGACGTTGCTAGCATTTGGACCTGGCCTTCTGCTAAGACAGTGCAATCTGGCACCAGCACAGATTAAATATAAGGCTCATTCTTAAAAATACCCAGAGCAAATTGTATCCTTTCATATGCAGAGAAGACAGAAAGCAGAGCTCAGCTATAAATTGCTGGGGTGAAACCCCATAGTTTTTCCTCAGCCACCACACATCTGAGGTCACCTGGAAAAATATTTTTCTGCTTGCATGCTAGATCTGGGCAGATATTGGGGACTTTGCCACTTGTTTGAGTTCCTGGACACCCGCCAGCCCAGTTGGAGCAATCGCTGCTGCTTGGCAGCTGGAGGTGTGGGGAGATTTTGGCTGTGTGGTCCCTGCTTTCGGGCAGCTGGTGTGCTGTGAGCCTCGGACCTGTTTTGCAGATGGAGTCCACATGCTCAGAGCAGCGGGTGCAGCATCTGCACAGGAGGCCAGATTCGTGCCAGATGTGCCAGGCTCACTGCCCATGCTCCACCCAGCTGCATGCAAACAGCTTGCTTTCTAGGAACTCCCAGACATATGTAGTAGTCCTTGTCCATGTGATATTTAGACTCCTAGGAGGTCCAGGTACTCACAGGTTCTGAAAGCACAGCAGGCACTCATTGCCGTACAGGAGGTTGTCCGTGCCGCAGACCGGATCAAAGATCTTTGTACAACCGTGTTTTAGATCATAATTGCCACAAGCTGCCTGGAAACACAAAAAGGGTAATGCTAAAATTATGAAACTTGCTTTCAATTTACCAAAAGAGGTTTGCATTCACAGGGAGGTGCACATGTTGTGTATCTTGATAATCCATCCCAGCTTGCTCAGAGCTCTACTGTGAACTCCCAGAAACACTGGGACTGTCACCATGCAGGCCCTTGGCCAGCTGAACTCCATCTGGCACTGCTGCACACCCACAGGTGTAACAACACTGAGTAAGTCCATGGACAGTGCCTGATCATGTTCTTCCTAGTTTTTCTTTTTATGCCACAACAATACCTGCTCTTGCACTTGTAAGCCAGAGAGTAAGGGAAGCTCTGATCTTCCTGGCAGGTAACTGCAATATTAAGCTCTTTATTAATGTTTTTCCTCCACTGAGTGTGGGGAAATGCAGTGGGAAACCAGTACCATCACTGGGATTATGCTGTGGCACAGCAGATGAAAGGAGGTTCCCAGGAACTGGCATATTTGAGCTGCCAACTCAGCAGCTCACTGTACTTTACTGTATTGGGCAACACTGGGTCCCCAGTGTATGGGTTAGTGCTGTCTCACTCAAGCTGGGCATCCCCTTGTGCTACACAAAAATAGGAGCCTTCACCTCTGTTCCTCTGCCAGCAGCTCCATCCATCTCAGCAGTTCCTAGAGAAAGGGTGGAGAGAGAGAAGATACCTTAGCATCCGTCACCTGGGCTGGTTTCAAGGGGGACCTAGTAAAGGTGCTTGAGGCTGAGGATTCACTCAAACACATTTGTCCCAGCAAACAATTTCTTCCCGTGAGTCTCCCCCATTTTGCACCCATGTCCCCCCCTGCTGCATCTGCCTCTTTCCCCTGACAGAAATGCTGTGATGGCGCAAGGCCCTGCCAAGGCCAGATGCACTTCTAATGACTTTCCCTGCCAGCTGCCAGGGAGCCAAAGTGGCTTTTGTTATCTCTTATCACGCGTTCATGGGCAACTGAGAAACTCCTGCCGATGCTGGGCCAGTGCTGGAGTGAATCTGGGGTGATTTTTCTGGTGTCAGTGGGTTTGTACCACAAGGAAGCAGAGCCAAAGACAAGTTGCTGAAGGTCTCTACTAGAAGGAGAATGGTTAGACCCCGCGGTCTCACACTAAAGCTGGTGGGAGCAAGCTGTGACTTTGGTGGGCTTCTCCATGGAGAAGCTGGCCCTGAGCTGACAGCTGGGATCACAGGGCTGGAACATGCGGTGGATGAATTTTGAAAAACAAACTGAATTTGTTCGGCAAAAGGCAGCACTGAGAAAGAAGATCTTGGGCTGCTTACAGATCCAGAAGTCATCTACATGGAGGATTTAGACTATATCTATATGCTGAGGACCTGATAGCCACGCTGTTCAACGTTTCAGGGACATTGGACTAGCGCCAGTCCAGACCCAGGGGCTGTAGCTCACTACATGCTCAGTTCATCTACACTGAGTCCAGATTTTGTGCTCAGACAGCTCTGCAGTGGGAACTGCTGCACAGTAAATAGGATGATGAAGTACTTGTTTCAGAAGTACCCTCCTGTTCTGAATGAACCCACTAACGAAAAATCCCTGGTGAGCAGGACCTGATAGAGCAGCAACAGCTCATGTTCTCATCCCTCTGCACCATATGGGATTTTGAAAACACAGTTGGCTTAAACATTGACTTCAGTAGCGAGAGCTGCATTTTCCCTTGCGTAGATGCGTTTCCTGTCTTCTTGGGTTTGCTTTTTTAAAACCAGAATAGCACCTATTCACTCTGAAAGAACCCCACTGTTCTAGAAATCACCAGCTCCAGGCCCAATCCTAGCCCTGAAGGAAGAGTGTCAGTCCAGCAGGTCTGCTTGTTTTTGGGAGCAGGTGCCAGGAACCCTTTTAAAGCCTTTGCTTTAGGCTTGCTCACAGACCACTGGTTTAATGCACGTTGGCTGTTGCAGTATTCTCCCGTATTCCCTGCCCAAGGCCACAGCAAGGTCCCAGCACCAGCTGGGCTGTTCCCAGGCTCACCTTCCCAGCAATAGACCTGGGAGCTTTAGCAAGGAGAAGAAATGACTTCTAAGCAAAGTGTTGCACTCACCTTGGTAGCAGCAGAGTGCCAGGGAGAGGAGCAGGAAAACACCAGTTGCCTTCATGGTCAAGGTGATGCTTTACCGCAGACAACAGTGAGGAAATGGGACACTTCTCAGGCTTTCAGAAATCCCACCTCTGGCAGTCTATACTGGGACCTTTATACCTTTCCCCATTTCTGGCACCACCCTGCATGGCCAGCTCCACCCCACAGTCTTGTGATGACAACATTCAAAGTACAGGGACAACACCAGGTGGCAAATGGCTCATTGGTGTGCTCAAGGATGAAAGCCTCTCCAAAACCAATGGATGTAATGATCCTTATCGCTGGCAAGGACTGGAGCCGCATTTCAGCTGTGGGAGACAGCTTTGGGTCTGTGCTGCAAGCTGGGAAAAAGGACTTTGTACAAGACGCAGGTAGGACAGACAGGGAGAGCAGCAAGAGCTGCTGCCAGAGAGCGGAGAGCTTGGATGTGCCTCGGACTCGCTTCTGGCTGTACATTCAGTGCTGTTATTTTGACTGCACATCTCTCTGACTGCAGGCAGGCAGCTGAAGCGAGCTCGTTGGGTCAGATGCTGCTCCCTTCCCCTCTCCCCACCTGCAATCGGGAGTAAACCCTGAGGATTTCCTACGTTTACTCCACCAATGGTGCATTGCGGAGAGTGGATCAGTCCCTTGGGTATTAGAAGGATTAATTAATGTTTCTAAAGCACTTTGATATCTCAGCCATAAATCACTGGAGAAGTGCAAAGCAAATTATTACTAATGGGGGCTTATGACTCAAAGACAGATTTTTAATTAGCTGAACAGGAAAAAATCAATGCCAAGAGCAATTCAAGGAGCTGTTTATGAGACAGAAATCTCAGCTCAATTGGCAGGTGCTCCACTGTCCGAGGGAGACCCCAACCTGAATGTGGCTCTGGAGGATGCTTTCCCCTGCCATAAACATCTCTTGTGAGTTTGCTTTGGCGGGGATGGAGAGTTTTCCCACTCTCGTCTGGATTTCCTTCTGCTCTCCCCAGGGCAATCTGCTCTCAATGGCATCTGTTATTTTATTAACTCAGAGAGTAAAGCTGGTTTGGGTACGACCCACTCAGCAGCTGTGAATAGCTGGGATGGGGGTTAGTGGACCTTTGTGAGCAAGCAACTGTCTTTTAGCGTGCCTGGGACAAAGATTCCTGTGGTGTTATCACCCTCTGAGGAGCAAGGGAGGGAGGTTTGGTCATTTTTTATAGCTGAAAGACGTTCATCTCGGTCCAACGCTGGTCCTCCAACACATCTTCCGGGTTCACGGTGTGAGCAAACCCAATAGGTGCCAGCAGCTGCTTTGGTCTTGCTTCCCAAAGCTGGAAGGGGACTTAGCGGGACTTAGCACTGATGGTTATACACCAGGGCAGCTGGGGAAGAGATTTTCCTCCTCAGTCTGTAACACATGTAAATAGGGCAGTGCTGAAGAGTTTCTCTGATTATCCTTGTTTGGGATGTGCCCACTCCTGGTAAAACCCATTTGCACATTTTTTTGGTTTAGAGATCCTTGCTGTAGCCAGGAAATGTCATAGTTTTGGTTGTCCAGAAAGAGAAACATCTTTCCTCAGATTCCTTGGAAACATCCAGGCACATTTCCAAACTTGAGTTCGATGGGTAAATCCTCAGTATTTACAAGAGCTGCTCTGCAGATGGGAAGTGTGTAGGCTCCTGGGACATTTCAAGTGTGTGTAACCGCCACGGTTTTCTCCTTTCCTTCCTCCACATGTCAGAGCACAAGTCAAAGCAGAGACAGGCTGCTGACATCCCCCCACCTCCTGGGCACTTCTCTCTTCATCCTCTTCTTGCTTAGGCTCCTGATCTAGTTGCACTGACTTAATTTCATGTTTGTAACCCCTCCCAGAACTGTATGAGATTAAGTACTTTACTACTCAAGCAGGTTGAAGAAACTTCAGATTATGCAATACGACGGACTGAACTTAATTATTCCACGGTGAATTGAGCCAAAGCAACTGATGTCTCTGCCAAAAGAAGAATCCAACAGAGGCTGCTAACACTGCTGCAGCCGAACAGCAGTCACACTAGGTTTTTAATGCAGTTCCTCCGTTAGAAATTGCCCTTCCTTTCCACACGCGTCTGCTGACATCTGTGTGTTTATGAGGTGCTTTCAAAAACGTGGGATTTCAGGGCTCCTCTCTCCTGATTGACATCTATTCTATATTCTTCAGGAAAATCAAACAGAAATGCTTGGGGCTTATTTGACTAGGGAGGAATGAAAAAGAGCTGCGAACTGCTATTGCGCTGCATGCTCCTGGTAGAAGGAGCAGGGAGATGTCTTCAGCAGTGTAGGCTTTCTCAGGATGTGTCACCTTGTCAGAGCAGCGTGTTCCTCCAAACACATCAGCTGGAGGAGTAGAGAAAAATGAGTCAGGCGGCACCGCCAGTCGTGCTGTGTGACTCGCCGAGCGTGGCACCCATTGCGGGGAAATGGAGAGGACAGGCAGACCCCAAAGCAGGTGCTGGTATGGTATGGCTTCCCCTTTGTCACCTTGTTGGGTGATGGCCATCACACACGATGTGGGGTAGAAGACCTCTGCAATTGCTGACAGTGTGTTCTCCTGGATTGTGGAAGGCACTCGGAGAGGAAATCGATGCCACACAAGGAATTTGGGAAAGGGGTGGTGGGTACGGAGGCAAGCTGAACCAGCAGGTCTGCCACTATGTGGATCAGCGACGTGATTCTCCTTCTGCAGGATGAATGTCTGCATCATCTTTTGGCCAATTCTGTGCACTTTCAAGTTACTTTTTTTTTTTTGTCAGTAAAACATTGCAAAAGAATAAAAAATTGCATTGCAAGGGAATGAAAAATTTGGGAACCTACCTACTTCCCTGTGATGGCCCATCCACAACAGGTTGGAGGAACACTTGTTGTAGCAGGGCTGGAATTTGCTTT